TGTACAGTGTAAAGAAAAAAATTATTTCTTACTTGAAGCGATACTACGGTATTATAAGACATATGGAAGTCTTACAAATAGTTGTACCGCAATACTGCACTACCCCCTTGCTTCTAGTCGTCTAGGGGTACCATTTAGGCAGGCAACGCTTCCATGGTATTTAAGCGCCTGCAGAGCATAGAACCCATGACCGCTTCTCTTAACTTAACTTAACATACATGTTCTAGCCCTAGTAGACTAGAAAAAAGGGCATGATGCAATACTGCGGTAGAATCCGGTATAAGATTGGAGGTATTGAAAAGCTCCCACTCCTGGAAGCTACCGCAGAACCATCAGCATTATATTTTTGCGTGTTATGATTCAACATTTTATTACTTATTTTGTGTCAATGTATCTTCAATAAAGAATACAAATTAAGAAATAACGCAACATAAAAATGCACTAAATATTTAACAATAAAGTGAGTAACAGTATAGAAATAAATCGTAAAATACCATGTTATACCATAAGGTGACATTAAAAGATGGAACCAAAATTTTTTATGCTGGATTGTAGATCATACAAATTAGAATGTTGAACGTGACTTCTTTGTATACAAATTTTGTTTACACAAATGCAGTTTTTCTTTTACACACATACTATTGGATATTTATTGTCTACTGAAACACTAAGGTGTCATTTTCTCAAATGACTTAAGGAGGCACCCAAAATTACAGTCACTTGAAGTCAGGTGTCATAGGGTTTCATTTTATTTAAAGCTTATGAGAAATCTTCATTCGCCATTTGATGCCATTAAAAAGTGTCTCTGCAAGTATAATACCACTTCTTCCATATGTAAGAAGCTACGGCGATCATTGAGACTAGTCTCTAAAACAAGTGACCCTTCGCACAATGATGTACTGAGGCACGGCGTTGATACAGCAGTCTCTGGCAGCACTGGCATTGGTAAGAACATTCTAGATAATAGTACTTATCCACTGCATGACAGACTCTCGCAATGGCTGTCACTAATTCCACCAGCCAGATCTAAACATAGCAGTGTCTTTGCCAAAATGGAACTTAATCGAAGATCTACTGCTCTAGCTTCATCGTGTTCTACGAAATCGTACTGACTTTAAACAACAACAATTCAATTTCTTAAATATAAATAACCTTCTACCAGTTTATCGCTAATAACTATACTTAGTGGTTCTGTATTAGTTATACCCACGGTCTTTGTGTTCACTAACTCTTTCCCTTAACCGTAAGCGTAAAAGTATGCTTCTCTTTTATGAGATGCATGTTTATATCTATTTTCTTTTGCTATAATAATGGAACGTTTTCAGCGATTCCGTTCAAGCAGTAAACCTTCATTCACTTCGCGCATCACAAAAGTGCACACACATGAATTAAACAATAATATAAATTTGTCCTCCCTCCAAACTTTACAAGAGGAAAAGTCAATAATTTCGCCACTGCCAGATTCGGATCAGAAAGGAGGAGGTTCGCGATGATACGAAGTCTACCGTAAAACTTAGCCATCTGTCCATCGTGCTACTGCCATCATAGGACGCTATGCAGGTAGGTCGTCCCCTGAGACCAACCGCCGTGCGAGTTGTTGAGGTACTTGCGCTAAGTCAGCGAAAAGTCAGCAATCAGAACCAGCTTTTCGCCTTCTGGCAGCGAGGCGTGACATTACGGTGATTGTTGTCGAAGATCGACAAGAAGACGATGAAGACATCCGAGCAACAAAGTTGATATCAATTCCGAACAGCGGAGGGAGACATGGGCGCAATACCATTATAGCAAATCAAATAATGTTCCACGGGAACAATACCGATGGTGGGACCTAACAGTCAGAAATTGGAGTATACCCTCACTTAGAGGGAAAGAGCAGAGGGTTGTTAATGAGGCCACAAGTTACCAACTCGATATAGTAGGACTCTCATCAGTGAAGCGTCATGTCTCTGAAATTCTGAATCTCTGCAGGTGGAATCCATTCTACTCAGTGTAGAAATCATAACTCGCACTGTTCTCATAGAACGCAACCTGGCTGACAGAATCATTGAATGAAAGACTGTCAACGGTAAGCGGAACAGTGGCAGTACTCTGAGCAGGCAACAACGGTCTCTAGCTCTGATTCTCATACAGGTCTATGTGCCCAATTTAGAGGGAGAATGAGTCTTTCTTTGAGGAAATGGTATGTGTTCTGTACGAAGTGCCGAACACGGAGTCTCTTATTCCAGTGGGCGATTTTAATGCTCATGTCGGAGCAAACAAAGGAAATTAGAAAACCGTGATCGGAAGGAACTATCTACTGCGTTTCTTCGACTGGCTGGCTGGAAGCATTAAGGGGTGAATTCCTTCCGCAAAGGAACTAGCGGTTAATAAGAGAAAACTCATGCCGCGCGCTGCGTTAGAATTTGCACTCTAGCATGCAAAGCAACAATAACCAACTGTGCTACTACCCTTTAAAACACAGAATATCAAAAACTTCTTACTGATAACTGCATGATTGAAGAGGGTACCAATCTTTACATCGGTTTGCCTCCATTGTCGTAGGATTTGAATATCGCCAGAAGAACAAACGCGGTTTTCACCCAATCACCGAATAAAAAACCTAAAGTCATAAAATTAATAACCTCAAGCATGTTTAACAACAAGTTACAAAATGGATGCCCTAAATGGAAAAAAATGTGTAAACAGTAAGACAAAGAATTTAAGCTTTACTCAGATGAGAAAACGAAAGACCAAAAAACACTCCAAGATAACATTTTTATTTCAAGCGCAAAATATCGGATTGACTGTGGCCTGATAAGCTTCCAACACCCTGGACTGAGAGACACCAACCTTTTCTTAACATATTCAACATTTGTCATTTATTCAAGCTAGATGCGTCTCCCATCTCTGTTGTTCCCTTTATTTTATAGCATATCACATTATCACTTCCTGGTATGTTATGCGGTTTCTGGTGTCAGAGCAATACCTTGTTTGCCGAACTGTGTGTACGAAGGGCAGATATTTTTAGTTGTTCAATGGTGTCTATCTGAATGAGTTAGTGAAGGACCCACAGCAGTTTAAGACTTAGGCAACATGCCAAATTACATTATTTAATTGGATAGTTTAGTCCGCTTATAACATGCTCCACTGTTTTAAACTTGTCATCAAAATTATGTCCTTGGACGGTTGAAATGCTGATTACTGGCGAAAAATTAATTTCATCGATTCAAAAACTTAATATTTGCATTGCTTTGCAAACTGGCATTAAATCATCATACAGACAAACGCTTGGTTACAAGATCAGTCGAACTTTCGACTTGATTTCAGCGAAGAAGAAACTGAATATTCAACAAATAGTTTCTAAAGCTCATACCCATGATGTGTCGTAGATGATTTGAAGGTTCGAAAGAACCTTCGAATATTCAACAACACAACCGTCTTAATAAAACTGCATCATTAAGTAACTGTTGATCGTAATTGAAATTCAGCAACATAAAGATAACAATATCTGAAAGGAAATGTGGAGCTTAAAGAGTAGCGCTGTAAATTTGCCAGTCATCAGAATATGCTTATTTTCTCATCTGAAATACGCACAGCATTTTACAGATGACAAACTCGATGCGTAGGTAATTATAGATATTTTATTGCTTATTTAAATGCAGCTTTTGTAATAGACATTACGTCCGGGTACCTCAAACTTAAATGCTTGGATCATCCCGTACATTGAGACGCTGCTATATTGTATTTGCTAGGAACTGAC